CATTTCCCCACGACAGACTGGCCAATTTGATACTGTCTTACCCCCACCGAAAGATCTGTTTGGAGATTAGCGTTAACAGTCGGGGAGGGAGCATTTTATACATGTATGATACAACACGGTGTACAGTGTATTCCGCATCACCCAAATTACCATCCCCACCGCGTTGTATTTTATTCATGTCATACCCACACGAGAAAATTTCAATGCTAGCAGTTGAGAAAATTTGGTGTTCCGAAAGAAATAACTTTAAGAACATCAGTTCCAATGTTCGAATCCGGTATTCGAATTTTCGAAACGCGTTCGAATTATTGTATGGAACATTTGGAAGCCCATATCGAGATTGTAACACTAACGTTTAGAACTTCTGTATTTTCCGACCGATTCCATGCCAGGGGAGAATCGTTTCAGGCCGAGAAGGGGATCCGGTGTAGAGGCAAATTTCTCTGCCAAATAAATGCCCTCGACACTTACCTAGGGGTTTTCAATATACCTGAAGCAAAGGGTGACAGTTGGTCGTGATGTGGAGACGAAACCTAACTAACCCTAAACTAACCCCAATCCCAATCCTAACCCAACAATGACCCAAACTCCAACTTTAACTCTTACTCTGATAATTTGAATTGAATTGAACCCTAATTCTAACCCTAACTCTAGACCCTAAATTCTAGGCACGATAAGCTTAAAATGTGGCGAGGCAGAAAGGGGCCGACAGGCACTTTGGGAATGTGTGAGTGAGAACAGCACGTGACAGATTCCACGCACGTACATGTGAAGAAGCTATAGGATTTACAATGCCATATTCTTCTTTCTCATCTTCTTCCTTACTGCTTAGCTCCATTATTTCGTTTATCTCTTATAGCATATCGCCCATATATGTAAGTAACAAGTATCTGGGACATAAGATAGGGAAAGAAAATGATAATCTGGAAGGGATCATAAATAACTGATTTTGTGTGTGCTAAGGACGGGGCAAGTTAGCTCAGTGTGTTAGTAATTTTTACATATATGCAATACGTATTTATTTAGCACATTCGTTGAGATTATTTGTATGCTAATACAAGAAGAAATCAGAAATTTTAGAATTTTGAGAAGTTGGGTTTTTGTGATTTTCAAGTTTACCACATTTCCTGTGTCTGACCTTTTGATCTATCATTCTTCATGTCAATTTCCCCCACCCACGTGTTATCAACCTACTCTCAAGTTCGCCCCATTCTGCATGTCAATCTTTCCCACCCACGTGATATCAACCTACTCTGTCCACACAAACAGACACACAAACTCACAGCTCAGCCACTCAAAGCAATATTTCCATACAAGCAAAGTTACTCACCTATTCCCAGCTTGTCACAAACGATGTGTGTAGCGTACGAAGGATCCAGAGGTCAGTGACCTGTTTCTGGAATTCGAAATTCAGTTCGGGAGTTCGCCGGAATCCCTGTTCGAAAGCGTTGTAGTCCTTTTGAAGTGGGATGATCCACGGTTTATCAACTTGGCCATAAGTACATTTTCCTGGTACAATAAACCTGTAAATACAGTAAGGTTGAGAGTTCGAATCCCGATGTTGTTGCTCACCTGACATGCATGCTACTGGGAGGGGTCGCAGTCCTTAGTTGAGCTCTGGTCCACTGTTCACTGTGCTTGTCGAAAAGAACAACTGGAATTTCCCTGGTACAAATAAAGAACCTGTAAATACTGTACATAGCTTCTTGTCTTCTCTGTCACGGCCAAACTGGTTTGAGATCTTGTAGTCACTTGTTATTTTCACCTCGGTACGTCCCTTGGCACTTCCAAATACTGCACACTTGTTACCTTTCACCTCGGCATATTTCACCTGACACTTCCTCAGTATTGACATGTTAATTACAATTTAATTAATTGGGGTCGTGTGCTTGACTAGGAACCAAGAGGTCACTGGTTCGAATCCTGACATGCCACCGATCTTGTGCCCTTGGGAAAGACACTTTACACGTGTTTCCCCACTTAACTCATTAAGTTGATATAAAATGTTGGAATATAAAAAAGATAAATTTAACATGAATTGCGCCAACATTTAATAACACCAATAACACTTAATCATACGTAAAATACACAGTGCAGATGATACTAAAGTTACATGCACAACATTTGAAATTCACAAATACTGCATGCTTGCTACTTCTCACATCGTTGCTTTTCCTGGCACTTCAAAATACTGCATTCTTAGGACATGCCGAAACTTACAGCTGGGGAATAGCAATCCCTGATGTACATGATGACGGTGTTGCGTTCTAAAACATGACCCAGGAGACGATTTAGAATTCTACGAAATGGAACGCATCTGTATTCCAAAACGCCCAATGTAAGTGCCAAAATGACGCCTTACGAGTGTGTTTAAAAGCTTCAATCAGCCATGTTTGTTTACATTCTGGTAGTGTAGTAAGTTCTCCTCGTGTTAGCTGGTTAAGATATGTTTCACACAAATGTTTAAAGATGGAAGTAAATTTTATTCACTCGAATACTTTCTAAATAAAATATTTCAACAGAACTGTTACATAATGACCATTTACTGAACCATTCATTCATTCGTATTCTTTATGTAGTCTTTTCCATAACTGTCCTTGTTTATTAAGTAGGGAAATTATAAAAGCAGAGAACTGAGCTGATTTTGCCCGCTGTAGGATTTCAGCACACATCTCCCTGTCATGTACATGATCACTATCTGGCTATGTTCCTCTCGTTCTCAATTACATAGAGTCTATGTCAAAAGCTTAAATAGCCCTATATCCTGGAACCCAAGAGATTTATAGAATCACTTTATCAATTATGCGACCTTCTTTAATAACTATGCGAGTTAAGCAGAGAACAGAGTTGATTTGGCCCGTTGTAGGATTTCAGCACACATCTCCCAGTGTCTACATTCCGGGTACCCCGGGAATGGAAAAGTAATTTACTGTGCTTAATGGAATTTCATTAGCGGTTATCTAACTAATCTTTTGAACGTGATGCCAATAATGATACAAACCAGAGGGAATTTATCCAACAAGCTTAAGCACTGTAGAAACGTTAATATACCTAATGCAACTAGACAAACCCTCCAACGAAAAACAGACCTGTTCCTTTATGCAAAAAAAAAATAAACAAACAAAAACAAACAAAATCTCTACTAAAGCCAAAAGTTTGAATTTATCTACTGGTAGTTTTCGTTTGTATAATTAACTGTATCTGTTCATTATTGTGTTTTGTTGTGACCTGTACTTAGCCCAGTGTGGCAAAAATGTGCAATAACGTGAGGAAATAATTCATAATTGTGAGGAAATTCTAAAAATCTACTGGGTTCCAAGGTAGGACTATTTAAACCTGTGGCATATGCGATTTAGAACAAGAGAAACATCGGCAGATATTGATTATGTAAATGAAGCGATTGAAGACCTAATTTGGATAATTAATGATAATTCTACTATTTGATACTGTTAAGGTAAAGGTAATATAAGATAATATCAGTAGTGAAGAGTGCACACAAGTGGTGAGGAACTTTTTAATTCTTTCAAATTCTATTTACATGATTCCTGTGCACTGCTATTCAAACGTGTCACATCAAGACACTGGCGCTGAGAATTAGGCCTCAAGTTGTTATTTAAGTGCTTTTGTGTCTTGATTTTTTTCCATCCTTCGCAAAGAGTCGCTTATTACAGACAATCACGTTTGGTATCATACAGACACTCTTCGTGCAAGAGTGCGTGCAAGAGCGCCACCTTACGACATCTGTTTGCACTACAAGAACGCCAGCCATGTTACATGGATACATTTATCAAATAGTTCCCACCTACATAGAAATAAATAAAATCCTTCTCTTTACTACAAATAGAATATGAAATGTACATTTTGCTGCGGATATCTGGAATGGATACTATTACTAGATATAACTTTGTCTTAAAAAATGTACCTAGGAATGCTGTAGAAAACGAAGTTTAAATAGGTAATACTGTAGTGTAACGATATAGTAGAAATACTGTCATGTGATAGTTGTCATGGCTGAATCTATTAGCTGCAATTCCCAACCATTTCGCTAGAGAGCGCTTCAATTACACCTTGGCTGGGACAACGGTTCAAAATAGCTTAACACCATTCTCGAAAAAGAATCTGAGATACTACAGTATCTTAACAGTACTCACAATTCTAAATATAAATTGTCTGCAAATTCTAAAACCTTTCACAGTAAATGCAAAACAATAACTTATTTGTATCAAAAGAAAACTGTACACGAGTTAAATATGGGCAGTTTTGTCATGTAGATGACAAAAATAGCTATATAACTTCAGAACTACGGTATGACAATGAGGTGATATGGAAGATTGGGGCACTTCGGCAGAACGTCTCATCTATGTCGTATTCAATGATGACATCCCGTCTACAAATGGTGTGTCGGAAAAGATACCGTCTGCAACAGGTAAAATTCCGACGCAACGTTATCCAAACGTCAAGTTTTTGTTCCAGAAAGTATGTTTATAGTTCCATCAAGGCTTGATCGAAGTAGCCTGGATGCCCAGAAGTATTTGCCCGCTAGCTTAAAACTGGTGATAGCTAGTGACATTATAGAGCGGGCGAATACTACTGGGGATGGCACCCAGGCTAGGCTTGAAGCAGACGACATCAGTGGCAGCCACATGACTTGACGACCATGACTAAAGATGTCGGGGAGTTTGATGCCTGTTGTTTCTCTACCACAGGGTGTGACCGTGACATAAGAGAATCTATGTTATAGTTTCATAAAACACCAAAACGATCAATGACAGCCACATGACTTGACGACCATGTTTCTGTACTTCTTGAGAATAACGTTGGAAGATTCGTCAAAGTAGAGCACAGAGATGGCTGATAACTTGATGGGAGCGCAGCAGGGTTTGGGCACGTGTTGTGGGTTCATGAGGTGCACCAACTTGATTTCTGTTGACTGGTGTTCTTCTATCAAAGGATAACATAGGGAAAATCTGTCTTATAGTTTTCTAAAACACCAAAAATGATCAGTGGCACCCACAGGACTTGACGACCATGTTTCTGTACTTCTTGAGAATGACGTTGGAAGATTCATCAAAGTAGAGCACAGAAATGGCTGATAACTTGATAGGTGCACAGCAGGGTTTGGGGACATGTTGTGGGTTCATGAGGTGCACCAGGGTCTGGACTATGGCGTGGTTCGTGGCGTTCATGAGCGCGTTGAGAGGAAAGGAACACTCGCCGGAACAGTAGTAGGCAGCATAGCCGTCAGGGGCGATGATCCAGTCCTGGAGACACAGACGTAAACACAATGTTTTCATTTGCATTGTTTGGATCTAGTTATGCACAAGCTTTCTTAGCTGTCTCAACTGTCTACTTGTAGCCTCTGCTAAGTTTTAAAGCGTCTGGAAAGGGTAGAAATTGTCCAACAGACAGATAACATGTAAGGGGAGTCGGTCCGCTGAACAAGTACATTGCCTTCAGCAGACTGACTCCCCTGGCATGTTATCTGTCTATTGGGCCAATTTCTACTCTTTTCGACCGCATCTGACGCCTGGTAGAGGCTAATCTATTTGTACAAATGCTAAAAATCCATTCATGTGAATTATGAAGTAACCCTCTACGACTTCACCCGATAAAGGGCTGACCTAGGCTTTGCCCAGGCAATCTTTCATCTTGTATATACACAGTAATAAAGATGATTTCAAGCCCCTAGCTAGACGTCTTGACGAGCCAGAACAAGATGCTAGAGAGCCTAAAACTAAACACTGTAATATTCAGTAACGTCTAGATGACCCACCTGCCATCCGAGGTCCCTGAAGCTGACGTACAGGCTCCGCCGCTGGCACACGTGCGGCCCGCGGTAGTTAAACTCCCCGCCCACATCCATGGCGCCGTGGAACGACGAGTACTGCGTCTGCCGGTTCTTGTTGCCCCTCCGGCCCGACACGGAACGGGTGCGCCGCACCCGGGCACGCTGACCGCTGGACTTGAAGAAACCGACGACGAAGGGCCGCTTCTCCTCCGGTCCCCTTCGTCCGATTACCCCACCACGGTGCAGGTTTACACTGTGGCCTGAGAAACAACGAGAGTAAAACATTACTAAAACGCCCCTGTAGTACCAGAACAGCTGCCAGGGGGGCAAGCGAGTCACTACGTCGCCTGATCAGTCCGCCGCGGTGCAGGTTTACGCTGTGACCTGATAAACAAGAGCAAAACATTGATTTTTTAACAACGCCGCTGCAGTACCAGTGCAGCTGCTAGGGGGTCCAAACTCGTGATCACGCCGCCGCGGTGGAGGTTCACACCATGACCTGGCAAACGACGGGAGCAAATATTGATTATTGATTTTTAAACAACCGCCCCTGCAGTACTAGAACAGGCTGCTGGGGGGTCCGACAGAAATTCTCAGATATGACCCCCCTGGTGACTTGTAATGAAACTGCAGCAGAACTTTCAGTTTTTATATACTATTATATCGCAACCTGGACATAATAGGTAGCTCATGAAGACTGTGTCCAACAACTTTTAAATGCTGATTAGGACCACTGTGGTGTTATCAGTGGTTTGTCCCTTACACAGTCAGAAAAGCCGTTCGGCTCCCACGGTACCCTGGGACTGGGATCTGTCACTCACACCCCGTGGAAGGGGCAGGTGGGAACGAGAGCTGGGTTGTTTACGGTTCGTTAACAGACTTCCCGATCTGGACAGCTTTGCGGCTTGGCTAATTGTGTAAACATCGTGTCATACTATTGGCCAGCCAACAGTCGTGGTTTATAGACGTTAATGACCAGACAGAATTGCCCTGAGGAAGGTGACAGACGGTCACCGAAACGTCTGCTGAATAAAAGACTCTTTACTCTGTGTCTTACCAACCTGAATGATGAAACTATTTACGGATGTTAATGACCAGTACACATACGCTACGTTCGGTGGTTTATTCCTGTGATATTTGAACAAAGGAGGCCTAGACCGCTGTGTACAATTTAAATCGAAAATTCAAATCTTATGTTTTCTACTTATGTTCTCTCTACCTATTTTTTTCAGCCAAACTTTATCTTCCAGACCCTTGTACGTAAAAAAAGAAGTGAATTGAAAATAGTTCTTTACTTTCCGATCTGGACAGCTTTGCGGCTTGGCTAATTGTGTAAACAACGTGACAAGGTCAGGGGCAGTGACTGAAGGTAGGAAAAATGTGCAAAATCTTAGTCACTTAAATGGGTGGGTGTGTTCAGATGAAAAGTTACGGATACGTCGGTGAAGGTTGGACATCCAGGTAATAAGATACGCCAAACGAACAGTTACTCAAGCAACTGGATATGATTTTAGAAACGGTCAAAAGTTTTAGGTAGCATCCACTACCTTTCGCCAGTGACACAGTTGCTTGAGTAACTGTTTTTATCAAATGAATATTTTCAATTTATATCATTTTTTATTTACTACTCCATTATTCACCAACCTAATAGAATTATTTATCAATTGTTTGGGAAGTTACCCATATACATGTACTCACCATCCAGTGTCTCCATGGAGACATGTAAGACCAGCTCGGTGTACGGCGGCTCTCCTAGGGCGGCTGTTACGTCAAACACCAGCCACCCCTCCTGAGATGAGATCGTGAACAGCGTGTCCAGATACTGGAGTTCTTGGTCCCTGCAAAAATGAGAAGAGACGTAGTGAATTAGGTAGGTACGGTGGGTGAAAAAAGTACCGTTGCCGTTTTGAGACCGTAGAGGCAGTGGGTTGTTAGTCCACTGTGTCCGGGGCACGGTATTGGAAGGGGTTCCCTCAACCAAGACGGGGGGGGCACCACAGACTTCCTGCAACCTATTATCCACTGCTCATCGAGTCACGTGTGTTATCTGCGTAACGAACGCCATATAAGCGGTGGATTGTTCATTCCTTGACAGAGCAAGGCTGGAGTTGTATAGCTGAAAACTTGGGTTAGAAATTGGACAGTCCAAATTTTCCACTGTGCAAGTTCAGTGTTTTATATGGAGTTAATTGAGCAGTGGATCATATGTTGCAGAAAGTCTGTGGCGCCCCCCGTCTTTGTTGAGGGATGGCTGTAATGCCCTGATGCGTATGCAGATGGCCTTTTTAATACAGTTGCATAGAAAAAAGTGCTAGAAATTTACCAAAACTTGCTTCATAATATTAAAATAATTGCCTACCTGCTCTTGCCGTCGCCCATGACCCTGTACACGGTAACGGTGTAGGACATGTTGGAGTAGCCGCCGCCATTTTTCTCCTTGTACATCCGGAACTCTGCTGACGTCGCCATGACGTCATCTTCCGTGACCTTGGTCATGTCGAACCGGAACATCCGGGCATGTCTCCGGTGATGTCCGGTAGAGCCGTCGTTCTCAACTGCAGAGGAAGGAATGGGGTATGTTAGAACGACGTCCTGTGATTATGGGTGACAAACTAGAAAGGTGACATTTGCAAATGCATAATTTTTGCCTCCGCATATGGTCTGCTCTGTTAATTCTTACCCAAACAGATTCATATATATGGTGACAGGAGTCTAAATCCCTCCTGCTACAAAATTGCAACATGATGTAACCCAACACTAGTTACCATGGTGACAGACGTCTAGTTCAGGTCAGTTTCATAGATATGCTACAGTCACACTTCCAAACCGATGCCCCGTTATGTGGCATGCTATCTGTCTATCATTGGCCAAATTCTACTCTTTCCAGTCGCTTCCGAAGCCTGGTAGAGGCTAGCGACAGATCTCAACTTGCAAACGATCAGACCCCCGTTACTGGTCGAATAATGACCCTCCCCTCCCGTTAACGACCAGGTGCAGCGGCTGTGAGGACGAGTGCCCTTGACGAGCCGGCCGGTCGCCATGGAAACTGGCGGGAAGATCAAACCCGTCAGCAGTCAGGCGGCTAATTTCAGTTAACGACGTCGTCAGGCAGGAAGTCGAGCGGGAAAACACAAACATGCCGAAAACCCGGCCAGCTGCCGTAAATTCGACAGTCACAAATCTCTAAAAACAGTGCATAACGTTAGGCTAGCCTCTACCAGGCTTCGGGAGGCGGCTGGAAAGAGTGGAAATTGGCCAAATAGAGAGATAACATGCCAGGTGCGGCAAACAGTTCTCTCTACCGGAGCCCGGTAGAGGCTAGAAAATGCCCCCAAAAGAGGAGATCGTCTGTGCGTAATGTAGCGGAAGTATATCCTTGTCCGCTAGGTAGCGCTGTCAAGACAGTGTCGTGATATGGAACTCATGCGAAACACTAGCCTCTATCAGGCTTCGGGAGGTGGCTGAGAGAGAAGAAATCGGTCAAATAGAGAGATAACATGTCAGGGGAGTTGGTCCGCTAGAGAGAACTGTTTACCACTCACTTGGCATCTAATCTCTCTATTTGGCCGATTTCTACTCTTTTCAACCGCCTCCCGAAGCCTGGTAGAGGCTAGCGAAACATCGTCAAAACTTCCATACACAAGGCTAAAACGTGAGTCATTTTACTAGTCAACCCTCTCAGATCACATGGCCGTGCTAAGAGTCTGAGGTGTTGAATCTGCCAGGATTGGGGATATCAAAGGATTAGCACATGGCAGACGATAGACCTACGATAGACCGCGGTTTCCGGCAGGCTTCATCACATCAAGCCCCTGGACTATATATTTCAATGGATAACTTACACTACTCACAGGCACTGCAGCCTGGGTGACATGTATCCTCTGGCATTATCAAATCTCCGAGCAGAGCTTTTAGTTGCTGCCAAGACAGTATCAAATTGGCCAGGTTGTATCCTTTTCGTTTGTCGGGCAGTTGTCATTTGCCAAGGCTGGCGCAAAAAACGCCCCCAAATAAGCCGAAGCCTAAACCTTTTCTTTGAGATTTCCATGGCATGTTACTAGTATGATAGTATCTGTCTGTCTGTTTGGCCGATTGCTACTCTTTCCAGCCACTTCCGAAGCCTGGAAGAGGCTATCGGCGGCCCACCCTAGCTAGAAACCTCCGGCCTCTCTCCCTCGGCGGCAAAACCGTCCTTCCCTGGATAACTGGCGTCGCTCCTGGAAAAAACGCCGCCCCACAGGTTTGCGATGGAGGCTACACCCTAGCCACGATAGCTGGAGTGACTTGCCAGGAAAGGCTGTTCCTGATGTATGTTGTGGGGAGGAAAGATGGATGGGTCGGTGGTGGCGAGGCCGCCGTTGTTTGTTCAGCCCGACTAGCGGGGCGGGACACTTCTCAGCGCGGCCACGGGTGAGGGGAAACTACTCTCCAAGCAGCTAAAGGTTCAGGCCTAGGCTTATTTTTGGCGAGTTTTATGTGTTTTTATCGGGTTTTCTTTTCTGTACTGGAATTTTTTCGCGCCAGCACCCCCCCCCCCTCCTCGCCCCCCCCCAAAAAAAGATACCCGTAGAAAGACTGAAACACGTCTAAAATATGAGAACTATCCCTTGTCACCTGTGTTGGAACAAAAGTTTTAACTTTAAACATGTAACTACGAAACAGATGAACTTTCATGATACGTCCGAAAATCAAGTCGAAGTGTAAGTGGTGCATAAACATCTGATTGGAGAGTAACTTCAGTCAGGGGAGTCGACAAGGGTCACTTCCGACGGGTGCAGCAAAACAGATTCACGTTGAACTTGAAGTGGGGATTCCTGGGCCCAACAACATTTGTTCATAGCCGGCTAGACACCACAGATCTTCTTCTAAGGAGTCACAAACCGTACCGTGCACTCAGGAGATCAAAACAAGCAAACACCTTGTATCTTGCTTAAACACGATAGTCTTTGTGTCACTTCTTCCAAGGGCATTGTCACTGTGTCTTGGCTTCTTCCAACCAGGTTTTGTTTACGAGAATTGAACTTGGTACACTGAAAATATTCGCCTTTGGTTTATAAATAATCCATCTAGCAATTTGAGGAAAACACGCGGTGACAAGCAACCAGAAAGGCGCCCCGTGTGGGTTTGACAGAATTTAGCGCTATGTCGCGTGAACTCGAGCTTGCCACAATTGGCGGGAAACTTCTGACTGAATTGGCACGGTGAGAGAATCGTCCTAATCTCTAAGCAGATCCTAGGGTGGCAAAAAGACAGTATCAAATTGGCCAGGAAGGGTCCAGTTCACCACCCAAGTTGGTGGGGGTAGCGACAAAAAACGGACCGTCATACATAAAAAGGTAGCATGAAGTCGAGCTTGCTAGATATATAGAATTGGCGGGAAACTTCTGACTGAATTGGCACGGTGAGAGAGAATCGTCTGTCACAGGAAACCGAATGTTCCAGAGCTCTAACAAGCACCACGTTGAGAGACGCGGCTCTAATTGCACACCATTAGGCAGGAGATCGTTTGAAGTGTGTCCTCTGAGGGAACCTGACTTGTCGTCTGCAGGCCTGCCTATCAACTGCACAAAGTCCCCTTTGTTCCCGCCAAAACCTCTTACACGTTTCCTGCTTTAATAGGATGCAAATGACGAGCGAATTGGAAGGGCTGTTGAGCATCTTACAATACGTATTGTTGCTGCAAGGAGTTTTTAACCTCGGTTGCTGTATATAAATCTTGTTTGTTTCCATAGTACGATGCATTGCGTAGTCTTTTCTGAATTCGTCTCTTCCTAACGTTGTACAAAATCAGGTTTTATTTGGAGCAAGCTGATGACTGTAGACTCGCACTGAGGCCTCATAGAAACAGCCTGCTACGAGACTAGACCACTCTAGCCTCTACCAGAGATAACATGTCAGGGGAGTTGGTCCGCTAGAGAATACACTTGGGTGCGGCATATTACCTCTCTATTTGGCCGAAGTCTGGTAGAGGCTAAGACCACTCCAGCCATTGACTAAAACTCCAACCATCTGCCAAAGAGCGGCTGACTGCGGGTGTCAGGCCGCTAAGCCTGTTTTCCGCGCGGCGGAGGGGATAAACTCGTGAATAGCGGCTAAGCGGCTTAACCGCCGGCACAGAGAGGAGCTATTCAGCCTGAAGTGGCCTGGGACGGGTGGACCAAAACTTTCCCAGGGTCTGGCAGAAGGCAGGGGTACCAGGGGCCTAGGAGAGAAGGGGGTAGTAGGGGCCTATGGGGTAGAGAGGGAGTAAGGGGGTACCAGGGCAGAGAGAAGAGCTATTCAGCCTGAAGTGGCCTGGGACGGGTGGACCAAAACTTTCCCAGGGTCCGATAGAAGGCAGGGGTACCAGAGGCCTAGGAGAGAAAAGGGGGGAGGGGGTACCAGGGGACTAGGGAGTAGAGAAGGGGGACGGAGCTATCTGGCACCCAAACATCGTTACCATACCATGTCCAGAACACGAGATACCGAACCCGGGAGTTTTGCTGCAGTATCAAGGAAAGACGCCAGGGGGCTTACATCTGGAATGTCTTATATAATTCAGGACCGAACAATCAACCAAATTTCTTAACAATCCTGTTGTTTATCGGTTATTGTACTGCTATCTTTTTACGCAAGCCAAACGGGTGTCGTATTGGATAGTGCTTTGCCATTTTGATGCTGTCTTGCCACTTTGTTACTGCCTTGCTACTTTGATACAGTCTTGCCCATTTGCTACTGTATTGCAGCCACCAAAAGATCTGCTTGGAGATTAGGTCCGCAGGCGACTGTTTCCCCTCACACACCCTGTGACCGTGACCCCTGTACCTAATCTTCTCATGAACGAAAAAACTCGGAAAATTCTTCTGTTAGGCGGAAAACAGGATTATCAGATCTTCTCTCCCACAAGTTTCAAGGCCGAAGGCGATCAATGGTTACCTTGGTAACCATGTGTCAAAAATGAAGGAGGTGATTATGCCTCCTGTACGTGAGTGGAAAATCGGAGGTTGTCGTTTGTTGTCGATAGCGGTCGTCTGTCACGCTTGTCGATCATGATTTATGTGCAAAATGAGAGCCGCGGGCTTCACGTGTTCTACATTGTCGCAGGTCGTCGAACTTACCGTGCGCTGTGAATGTCAATCATTCGGCGACTTTCCACTTTTAAGTTCCACAAATGGAACACGCGTTCGGTTCGAAATGCCCAGATCGAACATAGTTCGGGTTCTAAAATGCTGAGCCTCAAATGGAACACGGGTTCGGTTCAAATTGCCCAGATCGAACATGGCCGAACATAGTTCGGGTTCTTGTTCATGTTCTAATAAAATGTTGAGACTATTTACCCTACAGTTAAAGCTAAAGTTTTGACCGCCAGTGGTCTTAATCAGTGAAAAGAAAGGAAAGTTTAACTCTACTTTATTCCTGTGTATTGATTAAATCAAGATTTATGAGTCATAATAACGTTATATCCATGAATGAGTAACCTTCATAAACTTAATTATTATTATTATTATTATTATTTACGTTTGTTGTTTCAAAAATAAAGGAACACGACGGGCGTTTATTTTGGAGAGCTTTCCTT